GAGAGTGAGTGAGTGTGTGTGTGAGACAGAGAGAGAAAGCGTGCAGGGCGTCTCACATCCGTCATGCATGTAATGTGTACTGGTCCCAGGTGAATGCATTCCCTCCCAGCCCACCCTGATGCCTGCCTGCCCGACAGCCCTGGGGGACTGCTGGATGAATGGCTCTCCCCTCACATCTGTACACTCCCACCAGACACGCAGGTGTAATTGAGTCCCGGGCTGGTGTGAGTGAGCGCAGGCCCAGAGTATCCATCCTCCTTATTACCATCCTGTTGCAGTTTTACGATGCTCTCTCTCCCTTACTCTCTCTCGCAGCGTGCGTTACAAGGGGAGAAAGCAAATGAGAGGAGGATGTGAGGGGTGGAGTGAGAGGTAGAGGTAGAGAGAGGTAGAGAGAGAGAGAGAGAGAGAGAGAGAGGAGTAGAGATGGAGAGCATTAATGGCCATGGACCAGTTACAGGGTTATCACATGGCTAAATGACCAGCAATCTCTCTCTCTCTCTCTCTCTCTCTCTCTCTCTCTCTTTCTTTCTCTCTCACAGTCTCTCTCTCTCTCTCTCTCTCTCGGTTCCATGCTACCTTGGCACCATCTGCTCAGTATTCAAAATGCAATCCCATAAGTGTGTAAAATATATGGCCACAGAAAAATACAGGTCATGAAATATTTTTTCATAGCAGACGATGGCTGAAACAATGGACAAGAGTGTGTTTTTTTTAGGTCCCTTGCAGGTTTGGAGCCATGTTCTGAGCACAAAGCTGTGCAAACTTAGTTACCTGCAAACTTAATGACATGGACAGGTAATTGCAGAGTATACAGGACGAGAGCTCTCTCTCTTAGGGCCATCAACACTTCTATGACTTTTCTTCTGGGAAGGTTTTCCACACAATTTTGGAACTTGGCTCAAGCAACTTTTGGTCGCTGAAATGAGTCACTTCATCCCAAAGGTGTTAGATTGGATTAAGATCGGGGGAAGTTTTCCCACTTCAGACTTGACAAACCAAAAAAAGACTTAACAAAAAGCACAAAAAACCTACTACTGTAGGTCTTACAGTAAATGTTGAGTGACCTAAGGGTCAGTCTCACCTGTGCTTCTCTCTCACAGCAACGCTGAGGCTCGTACTTTCTACTCTTACGCCATCCAGAGGCTGCCAGGGGTGATGCGGTCAGGAAAGCCTCCATCAGTCATCAGAGTTGCCCCTAGCAACAGCACAGAGGATCCCTGGAGACCATTCAACAGGTGTGAACAAGATACATAACTGATGTTTGTCAGATTTTCTTATTGTGTACATGAATATATATATATGTGTGTATTTGTTTGTGATTGTGTGTCCAGTTCCAGGGTGTACATGTTGGACCTGGAGTCGACGCTGCACTACTCCCTACGTGTGGAGGTGGCAACTAACACCATCATTAGAGGAGAGGCCCTGATTTCTCTCAAGCAGTATGTCGCTGTCTTGGCTAAGGTAAAGTTCCCAGTGAGAGCAATGCATGCACATGACTTTAAAGCTCATTGTTTTAGTTAAAGGTTAATCAGAGACTCTAAATTGAGCGTAGGTGTGAATGTAAGGGAGAATGGTTATTTGTCTGTATGTTGTATGACCTGCGATATGCAGGTGACCTGTCAACGATGTTCCTCACCTCTCACCCAGGGTCAGCTGGGATTGGATCCAGACCTCTGCCTGGATAAGCGATATTGATGATGAATGGATGGATTGTTTAAGTTATGAATATAAAAACAGGTGAACATTTCTAAGTAGAATGGCACTCATGGAGCACCTACCATTTCCAAGGCCCAAAAGCTTTTTGGATTGTTTAAAATTCATTAGAACTGGATTTGAATTTGGATCTGCATACACTCAAAAAATAAATCCCCTAAATATG